GTGTAAAGAAAGCAAAGAGAGACTATGAAATCAAAATAGCAAGAGAATCCAAGGCGAATCCCAAGGGATTTTTCCAGGTATATTCCTCAATTCGTGAGGAAATTCCAGAAGTGGAACTGATATTTAGGGGAAACGAAGAAGAGAAATTAATGAATATCACTATCAGAAAAGAGGATGTTCTTAAGAGGATAAATAAACTAAAGAAGACAAAATCCCCAGGGCCGGATGAAATTTTCTCTCGAGTCTTGAAAGAGTGTAGGGAATTTCATTGCGAATTTCTTCTGTGAAAACTGATAAGAAGTAGCTGTTCAATGCTTTGCTTTTTTCTTCACTGCCATTTATCACTTCTCCCCTCCCTGACTTTAAAGGCCCAACTTTGTCCTTGACCTTTGCTCTATATACCTGGAAAAATCCCTTGGGATTCGCCGTGGATTCTCTTTCTATTTTGATTTCATAGTCTCTCTTTGCTTTCCTTACATTTTTCTAAACATTCGTAGATAGTTCATTATACCTATTTCTGAGCTGCTCCTCCCCTCCCTTTAATTTCTTATATATTCCTTTCTTTATTCCTATGTCATGTTTAAGTTTTCTAGTCATCCACCTTGGCTCATTCTTTTTTGACCTAATTTTTCTGTATGGTATATTTTGTTCTTGTGCTTTATGTAGTATACTATTGAATATATTATAGTCATGAACATTGTTGTGTCATCTATGACCTCACCCCTTCCTACTGGGGACTGACGTGACTGTTCCCAGGTGACCTCACCTAGGTACCTTCTTAACCCCTGATAATCCGCCAACCAAAAGTTTGGGACTCTGACCATATTGTCATTGTTTTTTGTTTCCCAATATAGGGTGAACCTGATTTCTCTGTGATCACTGTTACCTAGTTCTTCCCCTACTGTGATATCTCTGATAATATTTTCTTTATTTGTTAATACTAGGTCTAATATATTGTCACCTCTGGTAGGTTCTGTAATTAGTTGTTTCAAAAAATTGTCCTGTACTGCGTCTAGGAAGTCTTCAGATTCATAGTCACCTACAATGTTGTCCCAGTCAATATTTCTGAAGTTGAAATCCCCCATAATGCACAGGTTGTTATATTTTGCCGCCCTACTCATTTCCTGCCATATAGGCTGAGCTGCTTCTTTCCCAAGACTTGGGGGCCTGTAAATCACTCCCATAATTAGTTTTTTTCTTCCTTCCGTAATTTCTACCCATACAGACTCGGTTCCTGTTTCACCCTTTATTCAATTATTGATACAACATTTTAATGTATCCTTGAACAGATTAGCGGAGCCCTCGTAAATTTATTTACAAAATCATTAGACAGGGGAGTTGTGCCAGACTTGTGGAAACAGGCAAATGTAGTACCCATATTCAAAAAGGAAGACAGAGCATCAGCGTCAAATTACCGGCCAACCAGTTTGACGTCTGTAGTGGGGAAATTTCTTGAATCAATTATAGCAGATAGCATCCGATCGCATTTAAAGAAAAGCAAATTAATCTTAGACTCTCAACATGGGTTTACAAAGGGAAAATCTTGTCTAACAAATCTGCTGACGTTTTTTAGGAAAGTCTTCGAGGTAGTAGATAATGACGAAAATTACGATGTTATTTACTTAGACTTTAGCAAAGCATTTGGCAGAATACCGCATCAGAGGCTTCTCAGAAAAATTAAGGCTCATGGTATCGAGGGTAAAGTTTTAAATTGGATAAAATCATGGCTCACCAATAGAACGCAGAGGATCAGTGTAGATGGTGTTAAATCTGAGTGGGGCCGTGTAACCAGTGGGGTTCCCCAGGGGTCAGTACTAGGCCCACTCTTGTTCATAATCTACATAAACGATCTAGATACTGGGATCAGCAGTGACATAAGCAAGTTTGCGGATGACACCAAAATAGGGCGGCAGATTAATTCAGGTCAGGATGCAAATGCATTACAGGAGGATCTAAATAAACTGCAAGGGTGGTCTGAAAAATGGCAAATGAAATTCAACACCAGCAAGTGCACTCAGTGCAGCGTACTTATATTGGAAAAACAAATACTGTCAATGTATACAGCCTTAACAACATCAACCTAGAGAAGTCGACTTGTGAAAGAGACCTAGGGGTACGTGTAAGCCTGGACCTACGGCCTAGAAAACAGTGTGTTAACGTTCGAAATAAGGCAAACAGAGTATTGGGTTTTATATCTAGAAGTGTAAGTAATAAGAGTGCAGAGGTCTTATTGCAACTACATCTTGCGCTAGTCAGGCCGCACCTCGATTATGCGGTTGAGTTCTGGTGCCCTTATTATATAATGGATCAGTTCACTAGAGTCGGTGCAGCGAAGAATGCCGAAAATGATTCCGGGACTTAGAAATCTTCCATATCAGGATAGGTTAAAGAAACTAAACTTGCATTCCCTAGAAAGACGAAGAGTGCGGGGAGATATGATAGAAGTATTTAAGTAGGTGAAAGGAATCAATAAAGGGGATATAGATAAAGTTCTTATAATATCCGAGCAGGATAGGACTCGAAGCAACGGATTTAAGTTAGATAAGTTTAGGTTTAGGAGGGAGATAGGAAGGAACTGGTTTACAAATAGGGTGGTGGACGAGTGGAACAAGCTTAGCAACTATGTAGTAAGTGCTGGAACGCTGGAAAGTTTCAAAAGGAGACCGGATAGATTCATGGATGATAGAGAGTGGTAGTACCTCTCGACAGGAGCTGCCATGCACAGGCCAACCGGCCTATTGCAGACTCCTTATTTTCTTATGTTCTTATGTTCTTATCGTCCCGGAAGGCGGTGAGAGTCAGGGTTGTGTTGCCCGAGGTGTGTTTTGACAGGTGAGGAGAACCATTTCACGTCCCAGAGTTTGCAGGTTACGGTGTTTTGGATGTACGTATATCATCTTGTTTACAACGTTTCGACCTTAATTGTTTCTCAGGGAACTTTTCATTTTAAGTTGATTTTGTTTTTTGAACATATCAGGCCATGTTGTTATTTTAAACCTAACCTCACCTAGCCTCACCTAACCTAACCATATCTTACCTAATTTAACCCAATTAAATGATAACTAATACTGTTAAAACCTAGTGTCTTTTACTTTTCCTCGTTACCTGTGTGTCTGTGTGTCTGCCAGTATCCACTCTGCACCAGTGTACTCTATACGAATTAGATTTTATGACTTATAGATAGTCGGCAACAGGTGGCTCCTACAAGTTCAACCGTGGGTCTGTATCAACATATAGTATTGAAATTAATACCTGTAACTTTCTGGCTAGGTAAACTCTTTTTTGTAGTGGGTGGGGAGGGAGAGAGGGGGGCGAGGGAGTGAAGGAAGGAGTGGGTGAGGAGCGGGGGGAGGTAAGAGGGAGGAGGAGGGAATGAGAAGCAAATGAAAAGGAAGTGAGTAAAGGAAGGAAGAAGGGGGAGAGAGAGAGAGAGAGAGAGAGAGAAGGAGGAAGGAAAGGAGGGAGTGAGAAAGGGAGTAAAAGAGGGAAGAAAGGAGGGAGAGAAGTAAGGAGGAAGGAAATAAGGGAGAAAGGTGAGGGAAAATGTGGAGGGGAGAGAGAGGGAGGGAGGGAGGGAGGGAGAGAGAGAGAGAGACAGCAGCGTGTGTTGTGGTCGAGAAAGCTCAGGTATTATTTATTAATGACCCAACAGTTGCTCCACATTCACTGGCTATTTCCGTTTTCTTCTTCCTGTATTGTTGACAAGGATTATTCACTCTGATGCCTGAGCTTCTTCACGTGACTATGAGATGTTTTTGGCGCGCGAGAGATATGTGCTAGTGCTGGTTTTAATGTTTATCCTAATGCATTTATTATGCTTTTGTTTACTCAGTTTTTCTTTGGCTTCTTTCTTACCGGTTAAGAATATACTCTCAAATATGTGTTTATGTATCTGATTGTGTTTTTTGTCACTTTATACCCCTCTTGTACCTTTTATTATTTCACCCCCTTATAATAAGTAGGTGGGGGGTAATGATTTGACGGGGGTTGCATGAATTATTTGGAGGTAATATTAGGGTGAATGAAATTATATTTCTTCGTCGGGGTAATTAATTAGTGGAGGATATTTATTTTATTTGTTACTTATAGTTGATAATTTATCTTAGTGTCCATAGTAGTATATATTACTTGTACATTCGCGAACAAAAGTCCTGTCGCCTCTTCTGCTGCTCCACGAACCCCGAGATTCAGACTAGTGAATCCGAAGCATCTATCGACAGAATAATGCATCAGTGTCTACTGCTTCGGGCTCACGAATCTGAATCTCGGGGTTCGTGGAGCAGCAGAAGAGGCGACAGGACTTTTGTTAGCGAATGTATAAAAATTATGTATTGATAAGGAGCGTGGCGACCGAGCAGATAGAACACTCGGCTCCTGTCTAAGGGTCGCTGGTTCACTCTCGCGACACCCCCGAGTACTTTACAGTTGGGAGTGAAGGCGGTCGAGTACAGTGCCGGTCACGCTACCTCATTGCTCACTGAAGACTTGTTATTTAAAAAGTGTTGTATCCACACTGACCGAAACGGACCCACTTTCAGGTATAGTGATATGTGCATTATGGTTTAAGTTACTTTCAAATATCTCCAGTACTTGATTTTGACTCATTAATGTACGTAATAATTCAGGGTTTCTTACGACCCTAACAGCCATATGTTTAGGGGAATTAGAACTGATGTAGAAACTGAAGTCTGAACCGGAACTCCGCCATTCGCTCTCTCTCTCTGAATTAGTTTTAAGTGAACACCGGACATTATAGCTCGAAATTTAGGTAATCGCACCGCTCTACTCTCTTTGAAATACTTTTTTAGATGTGAACCGGAAACTACAGTCCGGCGCCTCGTGTTGACGTCGTAAATGTATCAACAAAGCAAAGTTTCCACCAATTTGTCATAATCAGTGATGGTGACAGATGGTAGACGGTAGGATGGTGGTAACTATCCCCATTCGCGACAGTGACACGCCTCGTTGAACACTCGGCCACACCACGCCACACCCTCCAGGACCACACCACGTCACACCCTCCAGTTCCACACCACGCCACACCGTCAAGGATTATATTACGCCGAACCACAGCACACCACGTCACACCCTCCAGGACCACACCACGTCACACCATCCAGGACCACACCACGTCACATCCTCCAGAACCACACCACGTCACACCTCCAGGACCACATCACGTCACATCCTCCAGTTCCACACCGCGCCCCACCATCCAGGACCACACCACGTCACACCATCCAGGACCACACCACGTCACACCCTCCAGTTCCACACCACGCCCCACCATCCAGGACCACACCACGTCACACCATCCAGGACCACACCACGTCACACCCTCCAGGACCACACCGTCACACCCTCCAGTTCCACACCACGCCCCACCATCCAGGACCACACCACGCCACACCCTCCAGGACCAAACCACGTCACACCCTCCAGTTCTACACCACGCCAAACCCTCCAGGACCGCACCACGCCACACACCCCAGGACCACACCACGTCACACCCTCCAGGACCACACCACGTCACACCCTCCAGGACCACACCACGTCACACACCCAGGTCCACACCCCTTCACACCCTCCAGGACCACACCACGCCACAGCCGCCAGGACCACACCACGCCACACTACGCCACACCCTTCAGGACCACACCACATCACACCCTTCAGGCCACACCACGCCGCATCCTGCAAAGCCACATCACGCCACACCCTCCTGGGCCACAACACGACACATTCTTCAGAGCCACACCACGCAGCACCCTTCAGGGCCACACCACGCCACACTATCCAGGAAAATACCACGCCATATTCTTCAGGGGAACACCACGCCCCGCTCTTCTGGACCACACCACGCCACACCCTTCAGGGCCACATCACACGACAGCCTTCAGGGTCACATCACACGACACCCTTCAGGGCCACATCACGCCGCACCCTTCAGAGTTGCACCACACCACAACCTCCGGGGCCACAACACGCCGCATTCTTCAGGTCCACACCACGCCACACCCTTCAAGACCACACCATGCCACACCCTTTAAGACCACACCATGCCACACCCATCAGGGCCACACCATTCCGCACCCTTCAAAGCATCATCACACCACATCCTTCAGAGCCACACCACGCCACACCTTTCAGGGACACAACACATCACATCTTTCATGCCCATGCCACACCTTTTAGGGCCACACCACGATACACCCTTTGGAGCCACACCACACCACTTCTTAGGGCCACAACACACCAAACCAACTACTACTACTTTGCTGTCACTCGGGATCAAGTATAACGATCATCCAGCTATGATACAATGATATGAGTTATTAAGGATGTCACCTACGTTGGCGAGTTCTGAGGTGCCTAAAGAGGCCAATACGGGACCGGCAGGGTCGTTCACAGATGTTGCACATGTGGAGGGCTACATCTAGTGCGGGAGGGGCGGCGACAGTGTCTTTCCAGCGTTGACGCTTGTCTGCCTCGGTATGTAGTCGGGCTAACTCGAAAGTATTGACACCTTCTTGTGTGGTGATCCTCCATGCGTTATGGTGTGGAATAATCGTCTCCCAGGTGAGGGGATCGATTTGGCACTTTTTCAGTTGCCCGCCAGCGTTACATTTACTATTCGTTATCTAAAGCCCCATTGAGATTCTGGGAGGAATTTTTCCGCCTGAGGAAGATGTCTGTTTAGGAGGACTCGAACGATAATCTTGCCAGCTACGGACAGCAGCGTGATACCGCGGTAGTTGCCACAGACAGACCGGTCTTCCTTGTTCTTATAAATATTGACGCTGGGGGCGTCTTTAAGAGTTGGGAGGATTTCCTCCTTTTCCCATATATTCCCCAGGAGAGAGTGGAGACAGCTGGTAAGCAAAGGTCTACCTGCCTTATACACCTTGGCTGAGATTCCTTCAGTCCCTGAAACTTTGTTATTTTCATCTGCTTGCTGGCAGTCTGTACCTCATCCAGGGGTGGAGGATAGCTGAGGTGGATCAGCTCTGGATGCTGAGGGACCTACTGGGTAGTTAGGACATCCACATAGGTGCTTCAGTTGAGCAGTGAATGGTAGTGCTCTTTCTAGCACTGAAGGATGCCTTCTTCCTCTTTAATTAGGAAGTTTCTGTCGGATGAGAGGTGGGGGCTGTACCATGAGTGATTGGCCCATAAAATGTTTTAGTGGTATTGAATAATTCGTGCATTTTGTGCTGAACTGCAAGTTTTTGTGTTTCACATGCTTTAGTTTTAAACCAGTCGTTCTTTAGAATGCGAAGTTCTTGCTGGGCCGCCACTTCTTCTTGCGGAAGATATCAACTTTAGTCCAAGACTGAGGGTTGTTCTGCCAGTCAGTTAAAGCAGCACGTTTATCATCGACGAGTACATTGATTACCGCACCCAGTAAGGATGACCTTACTGGGTGCGGTTGCCCAGTCAGGTTGGTTCTTTAGGCAGGCTATGTTAGGGCACCTTTTCTAGCCTCCTCCCCATGTGGGGTGAGCAGAGTGGCTCCTCAAAAGAGCTGCTCAGTAGCATAGTCAGGACCGGATTGCACTTCTGCCTAGATCCCAGTGCATAAACAACCATCTTATCCATGCTGCCCATATGCAGAGTTGTGGCTAGACTCCCGGCAGTCATCTCTGCCTGTCCCGTCGTCACTCTTCCGTCATCAAAGGACATTTGGGGGTATAGGGGTTATGATGATGATGATGAGGAGCTGGATGATGGCTGCGTGTGAGTTGATTTATGTGGTGAGGCAGGAGCACCAGCAACAACCACACATCTTGGGTCTCCCTTTTCATGATCCAGTGGTGCAACTGTTGCAACGACAGGGGAGAGGGAGAGTTGTAATGGACTGCATTGCCTTCGTCCGTCGGTGTAGCCGTTGGGTTCGCATGGTGGTCACCTCTCCTGCCTATACTGCCATTGGGGTCTTGTTGGAGCTTTGTAAGCATGTCTGCCTGATGCAGGGCTCCACAGCAGATTTTTCGTTCGGGTTTACTTCCGTAGCCTTGTACCTACCAAGGTTAATCCGCAAGGCAGCCGGGCAGTGGTTGGTAGGGGCCAGGACGTGTCCACATGTCAGTGGGCCACTGGGCCTATGTGCCGTCCGTTTGGGGCCCACTGCTACTCCGAGATCCGTTGTTGGTCTAGCCTGGGCCCACGAAGCACCTAGTAACGTGTGTTGCCACGAGGACGCACAGCAGGAATTTTGATGGTGAAGAGGCTGTGTACTACTTATGCAAGTTGCTTCCCTGTTCACCACGAGGGCTCGTCAGTGGCGGCAGCTGAAAGCAAGAGGAAGCAAGCTGTGCTTGCACCTTAACACTAACATAATGCTGCCACACTAAGCGCATTATACGACCCTGTGCGCACGCACACACACACACACACACACACAACATTCAGGGCCTCACCACGCCTTTCAAAGCCACGCCACACCATTATGAGTCACACCACGCCACACTTTCTAGGGCAACAGCACACCTTTTAGGCCACATCACACCACATCCTTCAAAGCTACAACACACATATCCTTCGTGGCCACACCACTCCACACTCTTGAGGGTCATGGAATACCCCTTAGGGCCACACCAAGCCCTTCAGGGCTGCAACGCTCCACATCCTTCAGAGCCACGCCACACCTTTAGACCAACACCTTTCGGGCTACCCTTCAGGGCCATACCACGACACGCCTTTCAACCCTTCAGGGTGTCGTTCTAGTAACTCAGGGACTCGTTCTAGTAGCTCACAGACTCGTTCTAGTGGTTCAGAGACTCGTTCTAGTAGCTCAGAGACTCGTTCAAGTAGTTCAGGGACTCGTTCTAGTGATTCAGAGACTCGTTCTAGTAGCTCAGAGACTCGTTCAAGTAGTTCAGGGACTCGTTCTAGTGGTTCAGAGACTCGTTCTAGTAGCTCAGAGACTCGTTCTAGTAGCTCAGAGACTCGTTCTAGTGGTTCAGAGACTCGTTCTAGTAGCTCAGAGACTCGTTCTAGTGGTTCAGAGACTCGTTGTAGTAGCTCAGAGACTCGTTCTAGTAGCTCAGAGACTCGTTCTAGTAGCTCAGAGACTCGTTCTATGAGCTCAGAGACTCGTTGTAGTAGCTCAGAGACTCGTTGTAGTCAGAGACTCGTTCTAGTAACTCAGAGACTCGTTCTAGTGATTCAGAGACTCGTTCTAGAGCTCAGAGACTCATTCTAGAGAGACTCGTAGTTCAGCTCAGACTCGTTCTCGGTAGCTCAGAGACTCGTTCTAGTAGACTCGTAGACTCGTTCTAGTAGCTCCTCAGAGACTCGTTGTAGTAGCTCAGAGACTCGTTCTAGTAACTCAGGGACTCGTTCTAGTAGCTCAGAGACTCGTTCTAGTAGCTCAGAGACTCGTTCTAGTAACTCAGTCGTCTAGTAGCTCAGAGACTCGTTCTAGTAACTCAGGGACTCGTTCTAGCAGCTCAGAGACTCGTTCTAGTAGCTCAGAGACTCCTTCTAGTAGCTCAGGGACTCGTTCTAGTAGCTCAGGGACTCGTTCTAATAGCTCAGACTCGTTCTAGTAGCTCAGGGACTCGTTCTAGTCGCTCACAGACTCGTTCTAGTAGCTCAGGTTAGTAACGAGTGCTTTTTCACGGTAGCCAGGGGTCTGTTGGGTGAACGGGGCTGAGGTGTGCCAAATTAAGCTAAACTTCTCGCCCGTGTATCATCGAAATACAGTGTCAGAAAAATGTATTCACACTACCTGACATGTTGTCAGGGAGACCCCGTGGATGCTTGTATTATAACAACAACATTTTGAACGCGTGTGTTAGACCTCACACATCACCAAGTGAGGACAATGTTGCTGTTGTAATACAAGCATTCACACGATATCCACGAAAATCTGTAAGATAGTGTGAATACATCAATGAGACACCCTGTATAATCGTAGCTCCTATCCAGTCCGATGTGTTGATGGTCTCCCCAGGTTGAGGTCGGCGCTCGAGACGGACAGTAAAAAAACAAAAAACAAAATCAACAATATCAGTCAGCTTATAATTCCAGGTAGTCCGTACATCTGTTATTTCCAGCTTTTTTTATGGGGGAGAGGGATTTTGATGACGCAAACTCTAGCCCCCTCCTTACCCCTTACCTAGTATCCCAAATTTACGGGATGTCCTGCCTGCGTCACCACCGGGTACTTACGTCATTCCGTCATTACTTAGCAGACGTCTTTACTTTTTGATGTAATGAGGGACGTCACTGGGAAAAATTATCCCTGGACTGGCGAGAAGTACAAGGCTTGCCTCATTCAAGTATGTGTAATTTACATCCTGTATGACGCAACGGATAACGAGACAACGTAGCGGGAGGTATGGGCTCGGTAGTCCCTGCCCGCATATGTGCTGTACTTACATCCCCACTAAAGCTTCATTTTGGCTACCTGACTGTTACCACTATCCAGAATCGCTACATCGACTGACCGAGTGAACTATGACAAGAAAAAATCAGATCTACTGTATAAGTGGGTGAAAGTGGTATACATTTTCTGTTTAGAAAGGGGGAATCAGATCGGCTTAGTGTGACAGAAATGAATTGCTGGTAATGTTTGTCTGTACTGTAGAGAAAGGTGCGAGATGTGAGTTATTGGTGGGTGATGGTGTTGATGTATGATGAAACATGGCGTCTAGTCACGGAAGCTCGCCTCAGTGACAGAATTAGATTTTGGGGAGATGGTAGCGACGACCGTACAGTGTGTTGAGAACTATACGGGAGATTTAGAGAATAGCTGTCAGGAACAAGGCGTTTAAGAAGTATGTTCCAGGCACTTCACTCGACAGCCCTCACTTCCCAAGCTACAAAGTTAGATACATATTCACACCTGGGTGGACTGGGGTGTTTTCCTGGGCGTTAACTAGCGACCCTAAAGACAGGAAGTGAGCGACGTATCCACTCGGCCACTACACCCGTTTATATCAGCCTGTACTATAGTAATTAGGAGGAGCAATTCAGGAATGGTTGGAGGTGTGGAGGTGTAAGATGCCACACAACTGAAGGAGTTCAATATGATAAATGATAAAAATAGATGGGTTGGGGGGAGGAAACAAGAGATACTTACTAGTATTATGTTTAGTGTCAGGAAAGAATTGAAGAAGAGGACATTCAACAAGGTGTCGTTGGTCACTGTGTAGCTGATCATAATATTTTTGTCAGAAATAATAAGATAGTCACTGTTGTCGGGTTGGCGAGGAGGGATTGTACTCAGGGCCGGATTAAGGGTCTAGCTAGTGGGCCTGGGGCTAATTAAGTCCAGTGGACCTATCTCAGGTTATTTGTATTGGCTAGAGTATATGGGTTAATATGTATGTGTGTATGAATATATGCTTGTATGTATATTTTATGTTTGTATGTATGTATGTATGTAAGTATGTAACACATATATGCATACATCCTATGTAAAGATTATTTTGACGTGTAGTAGAAACATCAAAGCAAAAATGTCGTTGACTCATTTACAACATAAGTGCATCATTTATTTAACTACAGTATATGGTGTGGCGTTTTATTTATTAATTATGTTTTAGGTGGAGGTGTATGGTGTGGTGCGTGTGTGGTGTGGTGTGTGGTGTAGTGTGGTGTGTGGTCTTTGTGCTGTGTATAGCGTATGAGGGGAGTGGGATATGGTGTGTGTAGTGTCTGATGTGCGAGGTGTGGTTTGTGCTGTGTTTGGTTTATGGTGAGAGTAGTGCGATCAGGTAATAATAATAATAATAATAATAATAATAATAATAATAATAACAATAACGATAACAATAACAAAAATAATAATAATAACAATAACAATAACAACAACAACAATAATAATAATAATAATAATAATAATAATAATAATAATAATAATAATAATAACAATAACAATAATAATGATAATAATAATAATAATAATAATAATAATAATAATAATAACAATAACAATAACGATAACGATAACAATAACAATAACAAAAATAATAATAATAACAATAATAATAATAATAATAATAATAATAATAATAATAATAATAATAATAATAATAATAATAATAATAATAATAACAATAATAACAATAACAATAATAACAATAATAACAATAACAATAATAACAACAACAACAACAATAATAATAATAACAATAACAATAATAATAATAATAATAATAATAATAATAATAATAATAATAATAATAATTAACGGTTTATTGAAAGAGCATAGCAGCCAGAAGGCTGAAAATATACAGTTACATAATTGGGGAATGGGTTTCGATTTACAAATAATATACAAGTAACATAAGTGGTACAAATAAGATAAATAATAACTAGATGGGGAAAAGCTCAAACAACAGGGCATTTCAACATAGTGATAGTGCAAAAAGTAGGATTGACTGGGAGTGAATACACTGGTTTATTACAAGTTATTGATAATTTTTACAATGGTTGGGACTGGGCTGTTCTTATAGCGATCAGTTTGTGCACGTATGGGCTGGATGCGGTTGTGGTGTCGAACAGCAATTCTCGGGCTAGGGATCTCAGGTGGTAGTAGGAGCAGGTGTCGAGGATGGTGCAGCAGCTTCTTACCAAATATGCAGATGAGGTCGTGGTGATGGTCGTTGAGAGTCGAAAGGGTCAGTGTGTTGAGCGCTTCTTGATATGTGGAGTAGGAAGAGGATAGAATAATTTTGCATGCCCTCTTTTGCACTTTTTCTATGTGTTTACATCGTGTGGCATTTAGGGAGGAAGACCAGGTAGGGGAGGCATAGGTGAGCTTGGGAAGTATGAATGTTGAGTAAACACTGAGGAGCTCAGGTGCAGGAACTCCGAGGGACTTGAGTCGGCAGAGGAGGTGGAGACGGAAACTGAAGGATTTGACAACTTCAGTGACGTGTGGTTTCCAATTTAGTTTGTTGTCTATGGTGACGCCGAGGAGCTTCGTGGAATCTACATCCTGGAGTGTGTTGGGGCCTAAAGTAATGGAAGGGGGTGGGACAATGTCGGAGGAGAGGTTGATGTGCATAACCATGGTCTTGGTATGGTTGATGGTGACGTGGTTGTTGGTGGCCCAGTTTTGGAGACTGTTCAATAAATCCTGAAGGGCGGTTAGTCGGGAGCAGAATTGTTGACGCTGATCCCAATAGTGGAGTCGTCGACATATTTCCAGCGAGCAGGGGTTTCTCTTAGGGCATCATTGATAAGCATAAGGAAGCAGAGTGGTCCCATCTTGGTGCCTTGGGGGACGCCACAGGTGAGTGACTGAAAGGTGGAGACAGCCCCTTGGAAGCGTACAGCTTGGCGTCGGTCACTGAGGAAGTCTGTAAGCCATGGTATAAGACTTCTCCGAAGCCCGAGGTCAATAACTTTGTTGATGATTAAATTGTGGTCGACTAGGTCGAATGCTTTAGTGAAATCAATGAAGGCGACAGCTACAGACGTTTTTCGTGTGTGTTTGTGTGTGTGTGTGTGTGTGTGTGTGTGTGTGTGTGTGTGTGTGTGTAGTGTATGGTGTGTGTGATGTGTTGTTTGGTATATGGTGTGGCATATGGTGTGTATAGTGTGTGGTGTGTTATATGTGGTGTGTGGTGCATCATTTCATAAATTACGGCATATGATAGTTGTTATCGCCGCTGGTTTCAGCTACACATTTGCTGCCTGTCTTCCAGCGGCTTAACCAATGTGCCGTCTACGAGTGTCACCTTACCCAAACAAACATAAATCTCTCAGCCTACAACCACGTACGCCGCGACCTCACTTGTAGACTGTAGAGATTTAGAGTTTAGATTACCCCCGAGGGGGCTACTTTATTGGGCACCCCCTTACATCTTGTGCAAGGTGAAGCGCAGAAGCGTTTACAACGCCCATCTGGGAAGTAATTGATATTTAGTTACATATCTATTACAATCTCTTCAATACATATACACTATCATTAGCAAGTGTCATCAGTTATAAACTTCTATTTTATAAGTATTTTATCACTATAATCAGACACTATCCCTCAGCTGAAAGACCGTAAACAAACTCCCATCTCCCGCCACTGAAAACCTCCAAACCTTCATATTTTGGCCAATAGCATCAGACTTATGTCAACAAGAGCCAATCACAGCTCGAGAAGTCTTCTCCGATCTGCCAACCTCAAGGCGGGAATACTAAATCTAAAATAATGATCGCCAGCCGGAAAAGCTCTCTAATATTCCAACTTGCCTGCCAGGATTTTGTATCGCCTGTGGCGACCGGACTGGCTATTTTGTGCTAGACTAAAAGACCTATTAAAAGAAAAGGCTTATATTTTTGTAACGAATTTTGTCAGCCTATTTTTCTAGAGCTCCTGGGGCTACAGCCCCATTAGTAATCTGCCCCTGGATGTACTGGATTGGTGAGGAGGGATAGACGGGGATGTACTGGTTCATATATTTAGCGGTGGTGAGGATGGTAGCATGATGTTCTGAAGGGTGAAGGAGAAGTTAGTGATCGGGAGGGATGAGTACAGGGCTCACACAAGGATATAAAGGTTTCTTCATAAGACGTTCACCTAAATAAGAAATTATCGCCG